TTAATATAAAAACACACACAGAAAGACTACCCATTCGAGATATACCCACAGTCGAACGGGATGTGGTGGAGTCTTTAACCCCTTTGGGTCTAGGCTGGACTGTCAGATTTTGTTTTTGCGCCAAAAAAACAAAATGAGAGCGAGAGCGAGCGGGAGAGAAGTGGAGAGAAAGACACGAGTGTACTTCTGCACACGCAACAGCTATCTCCACCTGTAGGCCATGAGGGAAGCCGGCGACAGGGTGGTGGCCACAGACAGGGTCGTAGAAGGGTTGATGGGTGGTCGCGCTGCGGTCAGTAGGGCAGGTTAGCTTTGTAGACTTTGAAATGATCAGTCGTCTAGCTGCCTCAACTAGTCTATTTTCGGTATATTGTAAATGATCAGTCCAGAGAGGGCAAAATGATCAGTGAAGACCCATAGCTGGTATTTGTACTTCTGTACTTCTCTGTTCTCTGTCCCCCCCCGAAATGTGCCTTGCCAGCTCTCTAGAGCTCGTGTATGTTTCAAACAAGCACATCCACCCGCGCACACCCGTACCTCGTGGTTTCCTAGGTTCGGGCGAGGGTGGTATGTGTGGCGCTACGAGTGTGGATGTGTTGCTGATATGTTTTACTCGTCTACAGCATGTTGTTGTAGCATTCGTTGTAGCTGCTTACACAACGACTGCTGGATCTTGGGAACGATTTTCAAATTGTTGGGAACCACGATATCCTCGATATCTGGGCTCCGGCAGGGCTTGCAATACCCCTCCCTTTTGCTGCCCTCTGCTCTTTGCAGCGGTGGCTTCCTACGTTCGGGCGAATGTATGTGTGGTGCTGCGAAATAACACATATGTATGTGTGTATGTATTTCATGTACATATACGTTGTGAGATTTATGATTTAGCATATTGATTGGCCCCATTCCCGAGACCTTGATATTACCCGCTGTCACTGATGTCTCTTCATTGGTCAGCTGGTTAGCGCGGGTGCTAATAATCTAGACACACCTACCTATGGACTTGCCAATACACGGCGCGAAGGGCTGCAGGGCGGCAACTCCACGACTTGCCACTACACCAGCATTTGCAAATGATCAATCAATGATCAGTGAGAACGTGAGAACGCCTGAAGACTCAAAATGATTGGTTCTAGAGGAATAAGTGTCGGTTCACGTGTGACGCCACATCCCGTTCGACTGTGGGTATATCTCGAATGGGTAGTCTTTTTGTGTGTGTTTTTATTATTCCTTAATGTATGAAGAGGAATGCGGCGCGACTTCGACGATGAACATGTGGCTTGCCTCGTCGAGGTCAGTCCTGAATAATGAAGAGCTGTGTGGTGTGTCAACCAACGGTCTTGCATCCCTGAGGTTAGGAAACTAACACGAGGGCTCCTCAGAGCACAAACGAACTCCCTCGATTGGACGAGGGTTCCATATTAACTAGTTAATCTGGCGGTCTCTTCGAAGATCGGTCGGAGGTTTCAAGTTGTGTACAGCAGGGACTGACTGCAGCAAGTACCTCGCATCGAGTCGGTGTGAGAGTTTGCTGCGGTTGTGGCGAGGTGAGCTGCAACGATAAACAAAATTATCCTGATCAAGCGGAGTGGTCAGGAGATGGCAGGGCGAGGCAGAAGTGCTGGACGCGGCGGCAGTGCCGCGGGTGGCGACGCGAGTCCCACTCGGGTGAGTGTGAGCGAGGAGAGAGGTGGTTGGTGCTCGGCTCCACCCAGAAGCCGCCCGAATATGGGAAGACGCTGGCCGTTGCTGCATCGAGGCGGTTTCTGCTTCGGTTCACGGAGTATAAGCGCGTGGTGGCGCGCGGCAACGAAGGCCGGGTGCTGCAAAGGCAGCCTACGTCGATATCCGAGTTGCTGCTGGTGCACATCCGCAAATAATGCTTGTCTTCTTTATGCTTTCTTTGAAGGCGAGAAAATCTGACGGAAGCAGAGCTGCTGGAAGGTCTGTCGCTCAACGACGACCTTTTCGGGAGAGGCTTTGGTTGAGCCAGCAGAGGCAAAGGCGGGTGTGACCCGCGCGGCTACCATATAGCCGGGCGTCTCGGTGCTGGAACGAGTGTATCCTGTTCTTAGTTGGAATACTACCTGGCGGAGAACCCGAAGGTGACGTGGCTGTACCGCGACGCCGACGACGAATGGCTCGAGGAGTCGGCGCACGTAGTCAGCAAGGCTCTGGTGAAACGAATTTCACCTCCAGAATTTCAGGCAAACGTCGAGAGCTCTCTGGAGCTCCAAGGAAACTGGAAGAAGGATCCTGGATGTGTGTTAGCTGTCATGGTCAAGGAGGCAACTGGATGGAAGAAGATAGAGAAGGTCGACGCGGAGCGTAAAGCCCGTGCTGCTGGGGAGAAGTCTGACAAGGCGGCTCGTAGTGGTGCGTCTGGCAAGCCCAGGGGACAGCGTTCCGGCGGTGGGCAAGGTAGCAAGTCCGGCTCTTCTGGGAATTGCTGGATATGCGACAAGCCAGGCCATTTCGCTCGAGACTGCAAGAAGGTTTCGTCTGAGAAGTCACGGGGCAAGCCTGCGCCGGCGGCGGCATGGTCTGGAAAGTCACCAGCGCGACCTCGTCAGCAGCAGCAGGCGGGTCAGCAGCGAGCAGGTCAGCAGCCGGGATCAATCGTCCAAGCTAGGGCCGCTTTTTCGGAGCAGCAGCAGCAAGGTGAGGGCGATGGCGTGGCAGCGTCACTTCCCCCGCCGCCTGTTCCCGTTCAAGGGACTACTGCGTCGCCTGACGCTACGACGGTTCCAGCGTGGCGGTCCCAGACCATGGATGGCGCCGCAAGCCTGCACGGCGAAGGAGTCGACGTGGATCGCACTGGTACGTGGTGTTTGGCTGATTTGTCTGCCCCGGGGGCAACTGAGTCTACGGTGTGCCCGGTGCGGACGGTGCTGGACTCTGGGTCAGATCCGACGTCAATGTCTGACCGTGTCGCGCGCAAGCTACAAGCATGCTTTCCGATCACGCATCCTGTGGAGGGTGCGCATCATATTCGGATGGCGGATGGGAGACAGCAGTTTAGTGCCAACAACAAAAAATACATGTCCGTTGCGGTTGGCGTTACACACGGAGTGGGGTCCGGTGGTGTTGGAGCCATTCCGTTTTTCCGTCATGCTTGGTGAGGAAGACACGATCCTCCTTGGAGGAGCAACCAACTTGGTGAAGAAATTGGGGATAGACGTGTAAAGCGGTCTTCCCGCTCACGCGCGGCAGAAGGCTATCGCCTCCGTAAAGGGGGTGGAGAACCCGGCGTTCCATGAATGCCGGCGTGTTGCTGTGGCGTTAGAGGCGCTGCAGCACAACAACGAAGAAGAACCGGTGGACGTTCATGATGAAGCGGTGACTCGAGCGTTGTCTCGAGGGCCCAACATGTGTATGGCCCCGGAAGAAGAGGAGGTCCAGCGCAAGGTAGCTCTGGATCACGCGGTTTAACAGGCCGCGGGAAACGGCTTGTCGTCGGCGGGTGTGACGCGTCTGAAAGAGATCCTTGGAAGGCGGGTTGGCGCATTTCGTCGGGGGCTCCGAGGGGACCCTCCGGCGAAGGTGGAGCCACTGAAGGTGACTCTCAAGCCTGGCGCGCAACCTGTCAAGGCGAAGGCGCGTGTTTACTCCCCCGCAAAAGCTACGTGGCTGACTGGATGCATGGCGGCTCTGGTTGCCATGGGTATGGTCGTGAAGACTATTCAGGCGACGTGGGCGAGCCCGGCCATGGCGGTGCCCAAGCCAGGCCGTGCGGGTATCGTCTTGTTAGTGACTACTCGCGCGCGAATCTGCAATGCGAAAAGGTGCCAAACGTCATGCCCAACCAGGAGGCACAGATATCCATGTTACAGGGTGCAACGTGTTTCGGGAAACTTGATCTGTTGCAAGGGTACTGGCAGATGCCGTTAGCGGAGAGCGCGCGTGAAATATATACCATCGTCACACCGGAAGGGCTATTCGAGCAGGCGTCCCGCACGGGGTGCTAAACGCGACGGGATACTTTCAAGCAGTGATGACGGAAAATCTGCAAGGATTGGATTGCGCGGTCTGGGTCGATGGCGTAGTTTGGTGGGGTATCGACTAGACTGATCTGCTGAACACTCTGGACGAGATACTTAGGCGTCTGGAAGACAAGGGTATTTTCGCCGCTGCGCACAAGTGTCTTTTCTTGGATACGAAGATCAGGTGGTGTGGCAAGGTATACTCTGGTGGACAGGTGGCCCACGATCCTGCGCGTCTACAAGGATTGGCCGACATGCGGAGGCCTGAGACGGCAGGAGAACTGCAAGCGGTAAATTGGTTGCGGACATCGTTACCGCGGCTGGCGGAGGTGGTGGAACCTCTCCAACGCTTGCTGGAGGAGCACATGGCGTCGGCACCACGTCGGACGAAGAGGATTGCGTCTAATCGTGCGATTAAGAGCGAGGCGTGGACGGCCGGCATGGTTGAGGCGTGGACATCGGCACAGGATTTGGTATGCGGTGGCGTTGTCACATCCGAAGGATGTTTTTGCTGTGCTGATGTTTCCCGATGCGTCTGAAGAGGGTTGGGGTAGTGTCTTGACGCAGGTGCCGCAGGAAGAGCTGGAGCGCGGAGTGTCCGTGGAAGATATGACCCACGAGCCACTCGTCTTCCTCAGTGGTACGTTTAAGGGCTCTCAGATGAGGTGGGCGACTATCGACAAAGAGCGTTTCGCTATCGTTAGCACGTGCAAGCGGCTGGACTACGTGCTGTGGGGCGGTGTTAGTGTATACACCGAACACCGCAATTTCGCGTGCATGTTCAATCCTGATGCGTGCGCGTCGTCGTTGCCGAAGACTACTGCCCAGCGTCTCGAGCAGTGGAAGATGGCGCAGTTCCAATACTCCATCATGCACATCTCTGGCGAGAGGAACTGCTGGGGGGACTTACTGTCGAGGTGGGTCAACGTTCCCGCAGTCAAGGTTAGGGCTGTGGCTTTGTTTGCGCCGAGCGAACCTGACGACACGATGCCGTCCAAACAGATTGTTCGTCGAGTTCAGCACAGTGCGGGCGAACAAGTCAGACCTAGGGCGCATGGAGCGGAGGGTTTCATGGCGCCGCATGGAAATGCCGTGAAGGACGGCGAAGGAATTTTTCGAATCAAGGTGAAGGGGCGCGAGGTCATGTGGATTCCTGAAGATGCAAAGAACTTGTAAACAACGTCTGATGGTCTGTGCTCGTATGCAAGGCGCAGGACATCGGGGTACGGTGGCAACTTTGCAACGATTACAAGAGTACTGCTGTTGGTTTCGCACGGAAAACCAGGTGAAATAGTTTGTCAAACAGTGTTTGCATTGTGTAGGTTCGAGGGCGGGTGAAATGATTCCAAGGCCGCTTGGAGAAACAGTGCATAGTACAAGGCCGGGCGAAGTGATTCATTTTGACAATCTGTATGTTGGCCAGAGTGGGCCGTTGAATGTCGAAGGCTTGGATGAAGGAGTTGGATTCAAATACATATTCGTGGTGGTGGATAATCTTAGCAACTTTGTGTGGTTAGAACCAACGGAGTCATGCACGGCCGCTCTAACAGCCAAGATTTTGCTCAACTGGTGTAAGACTTTGGGTGTTCCGCAGATGTGGGTCAGCGATACCGCATCGCACTTTAAGAATCAAATCATGAACAAACTCGAACAAATTCTGAAGGTGAAGCTCAAATTCGCGGTAGCAAATATGCCACGGAATACCGGAACAGCAGAACGCATGATGAAAGAAATTGTGCGCTGTTTGAAGGCGGTGTTGCAGGAAGAAAGGCGCGACTTGCGCGAGTGGGTAGATTTGGTCCCGGCTGTACAGTGGGCACTGAATACCGCTTATCGTCAACGTTACGCGAGCACACCGTATCATGTCATGTTTGGTAGGGCACCGCGAACTAGTTTTTCCATGCTAAATTGCGTCCGCGACTGGAGAAGACTGGCAAATAGACGTGCTAGATGACGAAGGGCTGAAACGAAAGGTGATTGACGTAGTGGCTGTTCAACAGGAAATGCATAAACAGGTGCAGGAAATAGTCAAAACAGAATCGTGAAAAACAACGGGGGCATGCTAGTCGAGGCGAGCTACCTAACTTTGCGGTTGGTGATTACGTACTCAGGGCGCGGGTGCGTAGACCGGGTTCGACGTCGAAACTCATGATAACGTGGACAGGTCCGTGGAAAGTGGTCGGGGCTAAGAGTAAGCATGAATACGGAGTGCAAAACGTCGTTTCAGGAGACGTACACGACGTGCATGTAGCTCGACTAAGGTCTTATTCGGATAGCGAGTTGGAAGTGACTTCCGAATTGAAGCATGTTTTTCAGCATGCGTACACACAGGGCGTGTTCGCAATGTCTGCTATTGTAGGCATTGGTGAAAATCCTAACGAGGACGGGAAAATACAAGTCAAGGTAGAATGGGTCAGATTCGAACGCGATGAAAGTACCTGGGAGCCGTTGGAAAAGATACGGGAAGATGCTCCGCAATTCGTAAGGTTGGAGTTGCGTAAGGTGGGTCTTGACCAAGGCGTTCTTGCTAGGTTGCAGTCGGAATACGGCATCGACCTGTAGTCTGGCGGATTCATGTGTGAAGTATTCTCATTAATAATTTAAGGAGGAGAACGTTGTAATGGCGTTAACATAGTAGGAGGCTAAGGCCGTTATCATTCACAGCGCATATATAAATGGCATGACGCAATGTTAGTGTCGATTTTTTTTTTTTCAGGCTACCGTAGATATCTACTTTGAATTAGTACGTTGCTTTGGAGGGTGCTGTGGAATAAAGTAGGACACAGAACTATTGCGGCAGTTTACAAGGTCGTAGATGATTGGTTCTAGAGGAATAAGTGTCGGTTCACGTGTGACGTGTATGAAGAGGAATGCGGCGTGACTTCGACGATGAACATGTGGCTTGCCTCGTCGAGGTCAGTCCTGAATAATGAAGAGCTGTGTGGTGTGTCAACCAACGGTCTTGCATCTCTGAGGTTAGGAAACTAACACGAGGGCTCCTTAGAGCACAAATGAACTCCCTCGATTGGACGGGGGTTCCACAAGTACATAGACTACATACCACATTGTTTCAGGGACACAACTACTGTAACCCTCCCGAGACCTACCTCAAGCGAAATAACTTTTTCCAAGGGAAGGTAGAAGTCGCACTTCTTCAAAATGAGATACGCCGCCAGGATGCCAAAAAATGGCGTGTTGGCCATCGTTGTTTCGCATTCGCCTCCGACCCAGTGTCCGGGACCTTGCCGAATGGCCTGATGTTGCCAAAACCAATAGGCGGCGACATATGCTTCCTCGCTGGGTGAAAGGCCACCGGGATCCTCAGCGTAGTGGATGGAGGGCAACTCGATATAAAACTGAGAGCGGACGTCTTGGTGGTGCGCGTGGCGCATGACCTCCCCCAGAGGAGCGAAGGCATTCACGCAATCTT